TAACCCAAGCAAATGCATTTGGTATCTTCCAGTACTAAAAATGAAAATTTTGAAAACTTTGAAAAAATGAGCTTTTTGAAGATTTTGAAATTTTTGAAACAATTTGACTTTTTTTAAACATTTGAAATATTTTTTTGTATTTTGAAAATTTTGAACTTTTTTTTTCAAAGCAATCGCGTTGCATTAGCTGGGTATAGAACGAGCGCGTACGCGCCGCGTTGCAGTCTAACGGATAAACATTAGTACGGAACCCGTAGAAATGTGAACAAAATTTGTACTTACGTGCTTATTTCTAATGTTCATTTATGTCCGTCAAATGGTATTTCATTTCACTGTTTCTATTCGATATCCGAATCCGCTAGACCTGTCTTCCTAAAAATTTGGATCAGTTGTTCATTTTATTAATACAAATAAAATATTTTTTGAATCTTTCGAATCGGACGCTTAGTTATCTTAATAACTGACTTACCTATCTTGACACTTTTTGTCCCGTATCTTCGTAACGGCTGGACCTGCCTTTGCTGGAAACTAATCAGCACGTCTCCCGATAAATGCGATTTTTAATTATTCAAATCGGTTTTTAACACGGTTGATCCGTGTTAACTAAATCGTCGATGAAAATTTCTATCCGCATATATATACACACATACGCACCCACACATACACATACACACACATATCGATCTTTTCTAAGGCATGCCAAAATGTTTAGAAACGCTCAAAGCTATGATTCTTTACATGATTAAAAATGAACTGCAAATTACTCTGCAATTTATTCTCTAGTTTTGTTGCATGATAACAAATTCATGTTACAAAATTATGTTTTATTAGTCAATACGAAATAGTTTTACTTGTTTACCAAAACATTGGGTACATCCAAAAAATAATGCGTGTGTGACAAAGTTGGCAAACGATTAATTATTGATTAAATTCAAGCATTTTGTAAGCAATAAAGAAGCAATATATAGTAATAGAATTTACATCTTTTCGGTATTCTTCCCAGTTTAGTTGTTGAACAGATAAAAAAAAAATCTGCGCAGCATATGAGGTGGGGTGGGTAGTTAGCGTAGATTTTGCGTTACCTTTGCTGATGAATAATTACAAAAAGTTCTGCTTACATTCAAAAACTCACTTTATGTTTGATGAATATTTACCTTCAGATTGGTTCAAAATTGGTCGCTACGGGCTCATATGTCGTTAGTTGAATTGATAATTCTCATTAAAATAATTCTAATTCCAATGGATTACAAGTCAAGTACTAACAATAAGTTTAGTAGCGTTAAAATTTTTAGGCTCTGTATCAAAATGGTATAATTTAAAAAAAAACAATTCAACGCAATTCTTCTCATTAATCTCTAGGGTATAATGTTTTGTTTAATTTTTGATTATTTTCGATCACTGGAGGGGAACATCTCCGCCGATTCTTTGAACTTCGTGTTATTAGAGCTTATTTTGAAAGTGATGTAGGTTAATTAAGAATGTGATATAAAAATATACATACATATATATTGTTATGTATATGTATGTATATACGCAGATTTTGTACGTATAGATTTATAACAAAATAAGAGTTATTGAATGAATAATTTAATACCTTTGGTACAGAAATGGTAATATTATTATTGCAAAATAAGATAATTAAAATAATGCTTTTGGTACAGAAATAACAATTTATTTTTAATTATATATTTTGCATGTTATTAGTCCGGTCTAGTCAATATATACTTTTGTTGTTGAATAGTAGTTCGAAAAATGACGCAGAGGCCTTGTCTAATTTGATTAAAACCAGAACGAACTATATGTTTGGAATATGAATAATATAGAGAGACATTTACATACAATATTATAATTTATGTTGCATCTAAATACTATAACATTCTCCAAAATAAAAAGAGGTGAAAGCATTAGAAATCTAATCACGGTTTGCAATGATAACGCCGCAATTGAACGGAAAATTAATTTATAGTAAAATTGCTTAAGTGGTTCTCGTCATGGTTTGATTTGAAATTTATGAATTAGATACTATAGACTTATACTACTAGGATCTAGCATCTTAAATAACATATTATAATTTTATCTGTTTCTATTTGGCACCATATGTTCAATATGCGACATGCATTGCACTTTTTAGAAAGCCAGTGATGGTCGTAATGCCAATACGATATTCGAGGTGTTAATATATTATGTGGTGCAACAACTTGTTAAAATTTCAAAAAATACAATTTATATAATTAGGTTCTTGCATGTAATTTCAAACTAAGACTTGGGTTTTAATAAATAACTAGATAATATTATAAATAGCAACACTTTTAAATTGGGCATATGATTGTTATCGAAATGTCAAATCAACTAATTTTCACTCGTTTATATAGTATTAACAAATTATGCTTCAAACTTTTCATTATATTTTTTTTATATCTGCCAGGCGGCTGCTCATTTCACGCATTCAGTTTCATTTACTCATGCTAATTTTGCTAACAATAAAAGGGGCATAGCAAGGTGTATTTTGCATTTTAAAAATTCAGAGGCCTTATGTAAGAGAATCCATCATATTTTGAGTATTGTTGACAGTTAAATTAAAAATTACTTTAATAAGTGCACAAACAGAACGAGAGAAGCTAATTTTATGCTAGGTCGAGGTCAAATTCCGCGTATTCGTACCATCGATCGGGAATTTTCAATTATCTTACAGTATTTTTTCTTCAAATATCTTGTAGGGTTCAGATTATATATATATATATATATATATATATATATATATATATATATATATATATATTCAATAGAGAAAAACTTGCAAGGACCTAATTTTGGAGATATGATTCAGACCGTACATTCGATCTACTTTTATTAATTTATGATTTCAATTTTATTATATTGTTATGTTCATTTGTAACGTAGAATTCGATATGAAAATTTAATTGTATTTTATTCAAATGTTAAATAAATAATTCATTTGATTTAATTTTATTCTTATTATTTGGTACAGTAGCAAATTGAAAAACAATCAATCTCGTAACAGGTTTATACATTGATTGTTTGAAACAAATTCTAACATTAACGCACATTTTCATTATGTCTCATTATATTTTATGATTTAAAGATACTGAAAATGCGGTAATAGTTTATTTTATTAACCAAAAAACCAACGAACAAAACAAAATTACTGTTTTTATTTGTAAAATCAGTAAAATAATATTCTGAATTCACTTAAGCATAATGTTTTGGCGTTCACTAAAGCATGTAAGAGGCCACTATTTTATGAAAGCAAAGATATTTGCAAAAACTATTTTGAAGTTCAAATTCGTCAAAAATGTGTAAAGAAGTTAGTTTTTGATTTATTTTTTTTCAAAGTATATCTTCTTTTATTTTGGTTTAGGGGTAATATTAGACGTTTTTATATTTTTAAAATCTAGTAAAGATACATATAAGTACAAACACATATAAATATAGTTTTTCGGTGCATTATTATTTGTTGTTTATTATATATCAGAATCATAAGAATCATGTAGCTCAGATAAGAAACTTAAGAAATAATGAATAATTGTATATATAAAAAAATTATGTAATAACTGGTGGGTCCCAAAAACTTGCACTTTTATAATAGTAAACATTCACTTTTATGGTTCGATTCTGTCGAAATGTTATAGCAAGGCTATGTTATTTTGCGGTTTTTATATAAAGTGGTACTAAAAACTGTCAAATTTCTAGAAAACGCACGATGTAAAAAAACGATGTTATCATAACAGAATCTTTGAGATATGGCTTGATAACGTACGAGTGTAGTTGCATTTCATGTGTAAAACGACTGATCTGATTTAGTAGCATTTTTAGTATGAAAGTTGGAACGTAACATAGCCTTGCCATAACATTGGTCTATTTTGTGGCAGAATCGGCTCATTAGTTTCATTTCAAATAGATTTCTTGTCTTAAATCAAACCAGTTGTTTGTTATGGGCTGAATTTTCATAATAATTGTGGGTATTATACAATCGCTTATGAATAAAAATAACAACATTGAGGAAGTATAATTGCCTCGGCCTTAAGGGGGTCTTCCTATGTGACGGCCTGTTTTTTAGGGATATTTTAGAATTTTTTTTCTACGACCAGTAAATAGTTAGAGCTTCAAGTTTTTTATCATTTATTAATGCATATTTGGACAGTATAAATATAAAATTTCAGCTAAAAAAATTTAGTCCAACTAGAGTTACAGCGCTCTAAACACCCCCTCCTCAAAAAAAAGAGCTCCTACAGTCTCCACGATTCCGGCTGATCGGCTTATCGGACCAAAAAAAAAATAAACGGCGTTTTAATTTGTAGGCTTAAAAGCACGGAATGATCTACAATCAAATGAATACAAAAAAAATTGGATGTTTTATAGACATTTGAAATAAAAGTTGCAAATTAGGCGTTTTTTTTTTTTTTTTTGCTATAAAAAATCGAAGTTTTGAAATTTTTGATTGATAATAGATCATTCCATGCGTTTAAATATACTGAATGTGCCCTGTAAATTTCAAGTAATTTGATCCAGCCGTTTCTGAGATACAATGGAGACAAGTTTGAAAAACACAGTTTTGAGAAAAACGCGTTTAAAGATAAAATGATCGTTGTACTATATACTATATGTATACTTTTTAAATGACTGTATCTCAAAAACTATTTGAGATATCGATTTGAAATTTTAATATGTTATTTTTAAAGATATAATCTACTGAAATATGAAATAAAAAAAATCAATTTTTTCAACTCATCACATAGGAAGACCCCCTTAAGTGGATAATTTGGTTAGCAGATGTAATATATCTTTGTTTAAGTTTAGTATCTATTCGACAATTGTCAGATATGAAGTTATATCATTTTATTGTTTTAATCCTAATGTTGACTAATGTTGAATTTAATTATATTTGATTACGTATTGAAGTTGAAAATGATCTCGAAAAGTAACTAAATAGATGAATGAATTCGTCAAAACATTTGAGTAGATAAAATGGCAACGGTGAGAACTAACCGGCGTGAATTTCATTGCAGGATCAAAAGCTTGGCATATGCGACTTACATTCGAACGTCTTCAGGGCGGTTGTAATTTGCACCGTTGCAAACTGTGCGGTAAGGTGGTGACGCACATTCGTAACCATTACCACGTGCATTTTCCTGGTCGATTCGAATGCCCGCTGTGTCGTGCGACATACACTAGAAGCGATAACTTACGCACGCACTGCAAGTTCAAACACCCGATGTTCAATCCGGACACCCGGAAGTTCGAGAATCTGCTGACGAGCTCGGCAAACAATGGTAACAGTGGCGCATCGACGCCGACGCCGACGCCTACGCCGACACCGACGTCGGTCAGCACGTCGGCGGCGTACGCGCGCAGCGCCCCAGCATCCGGCAATCTGAGCGAGAGCCTGGATTGATTGAGACTGAATTTTTTTGAATTATGTCAATGGATACGTCCGCACTACTATCATCCGAATCTGCCGTGATACTGTTGAATTGAACGGTGCTCGCTCGCTCGCTAAACCCAAACGGTTTCATTTTTAGGAATTTTCGCGATGGCGCGAGCAGCTTCGCTCATCACTCATATTGACATGAATCAAAAGAATTCGTTTTGCGCAATTCACTAACTCAACCATATAAACATTCTTCTCGAACAAATACAGCGATATTATGTATGAAGTACATAAAATGATTAAAGTATAATAGCTAAAATTAAATTTAATATTCATGTTACATACCTATATGCCGAGCTTATATCGCCTATGTAAATCGTGACACGACCTAATCAAGTTTGCGCTGTGTTATTTAAAATTCTTATTGGACCAATTACAAAGGAAATATTTTTTTTCAATGGGTAATCAGATTATATTCTTTGATATCTACAGATAGATCATCCCATGAAATAATGATTTCGTTTGATGAATTTTGGTAAAAATTTGCATTTCACGAAAATTCGTAAGGTCTTCTTACTTTGCCAATAATATTATTATTATTATTTTATTATTATTATTATTATAGTCATTGTACGTATTACTTTCATATATATTGTATTGTGATGACGCTGCATTAGTTTGCATTGAAGATGTAAGCACGGTATAAATGCTACTTTGTATAATATTCTTCCCGTATTTTATTATTACTGTATATTTTGTTTATTAATGAATGGATATCGATTGTATGGTATGTATTTGGCATATAAAGTTATATTGTATGCACATAATAGCATATATTTGATTTATGCTGGCCGTGTATATTTTTCACTCTGGCGCGGTTTTCACTGTTTTATTTATATTGAATGTTAAATATATTTTCATATGTCTAAGAAGCGGTTAGTGTTTTAGAGTAATAGTAGTGATCCATATTAAATTTTAAATCTAAATACTTTTATTTTCCTCGAAGCATATGTTAGTTATCGTCATATTTTTGTATTACAATATTTTAACTCATCATTCATAAATATCATACTGGTTTATATGTCATCTACGATTTTAAATCTCAATGTCAATGAAATATTTTATATAATTGATTTATTTTTTAAATACTCAATATTTCGACTCTTAGAAGTTTTGCAGTCTAACTTTTACATTGTGATAAAGTATGGTAATCTGGTCTTAGGTATATGAAATTATAATGGTGACAACATCATTAATATCTTTTGATAAGTTTTTATTAATATGTAAAAGAAATTACCTGAACTCATTGACCTATACCATACTTAATAAAATCATCTAATGTATATTTATTAGTTATCCTGAATGTACAAATTTCCAATGAAATGTGAGATTGTTAAAAGTTTTCTACTCTTAATAACATTTTTGCACAAGATACCTATTCTCGGATTAGATCACAATAGTAATAAATGAACCAATGCAAGTTTTAATATTTGCGTGTTGAAAAATTATTTTCTATTAGGTCGCAATACACAACGCGTTATGTACTTAGCTTCAAAAGTCGGCATATTATAATTCATTTGTTCTAGGTTGAAAATTTAACAACAGTGTGTTGACGGATATGAGAGCGCAACGATTTTTGATTCTGTTTATCGGGTTGTTACAATTGTTGTCAGATTTCTTCCAAAGTTACAGCTATTTTATACAACTAAACTTGACTGCTATGATGTTACAATAATATAATATATTAAATTTAATGGAAAGGGGTATGCATTAACTAATTTACATCCGTTGGTGTATTTTTACAAGCGGTGCTGAATCCTTGTCAAATCAGTTAAATGATACTGGTTGTCTTCCATTATTTATTCATTATTTATATAAGGAAATCTTAAGGCGTTTTACGAATGAATTGCTTGATAAAGTTTTTTAATAAATATATTTATATATTTTCAAATATGAAAATAAATTAACAAAGCACATACTAAAACCATTATATTTGAATTCAAATTAATAACGTACTTCTGTTTTCACCCTATTATATTCAATTTCTTTTTTTTTTTATTATTCAATAATAGTTTGCATGATAAGCAAAACAAAACAGTCTTGTTATTTTGTATTTATCAAAAATTTAAATGTGTAGTAATGCTGACCATTTGGTATTGAATGATTCAATCATTCAAATGTTAATTTCAAATTTTGAAGCTGATCACTGAGAATAGTTCTCTTTAAAATGTATTTAAATCAATTAGTTCATTGGGCGACTAGTTTATGTACATCATGTGATTTTTAGTATCTTGTTTAGTGGAACATCAAAGAATTGCTTAGGTCTGAATGCATAATCTTATGCTAGGGCTGAATGGTGCTGTAATTTTAATGAAATTATTATATATGAATTGCCTAGCACTTAGAGATGATTAGAAAAAACGTTACTTTTGTATAAATGCTGGTGCTTACTTATACATGGTGAATTTATCTGGCTATGAACGTTAGATATATAAATGAAATTTATTTTTTATTCAAAACTATAAGTTATTGTGATTTTTTATGTGTATATATGTATGTACATGCTTGAAAGCATGTATATATGGCGATATAAATGGGCAAAATTTTAAGCTGTTCTGAGGTCGATAAGCAATACTGAGTATCTAAAATATATTATCAATAATATTGTATATTATAAATTTATATAATAATTTTATGTCAGAAATTTAGTATCGATTTTGACCTCAAGAAAGTTTAAAATTGTATTGCTTGTAATTTTTTACATTGCTACTGTATACATAAACTTCATTATGCTTTAGGAGACACTCATTAATATCCTGAGGTACTTTTAGTAAATTTAGAAATTTATTTTTTATTCGTAACATATCTTATCAATGAAAAATTTTGCTGATACGATTTGTCTGCATTGCAAAGCACAAGCGGCTGGACCATCACGCCCTATTTCATAGAACATTTAATATATTGTGGTTAATTTAGTTTTACTAATATCTTTATGAAATAATATCAACTTTAGTCAGCTTTGCTCTTTCAAACCTCATATAATTAAAGGATGTCTTCTTGGTAATTGTGATGCTTTGTAGCCATTTAAATTCTGACGATATAAATATTTATCATTTGGAAAGAATCCTATTGGAGTAATGATTTGCAGACATTTGATTTTACATCAAGCTTGAATCTCGCTTGTATGTGCATGTCTATAGATGAATTAATGGGGCCTTTAATAATCTGTAATGTTAAATAATATATTTTCGATAATATAATATTAAATTAGTTGTCATTAGTTAATGTTCAAGAACAATTTGTTTCTCACAATGAAGATTTTTAAAAATCAACTATTTGCTAGTATGACCGTGAAAATTAATTAATGAGCCAATATAAATTGGTGAATAATATCGTATTAAAAATTATTTTTTGTTAATTCACTTAGAGTTTTAATAATATATTAATATATGATATTGTTTGAATATTTTTTATTTAAATATAGATTCTATTAAGTGTTGACATGTTCTATATTCTAACAGTTTATTCATTGTTTACAATTATCATAAAATTTAACTTTAAATATGCATATAGAATATAGTGAAAATTATAATTAATATATGCAGTAATTTTGCGTACTACTTCTGACTCCATATGTTGAATGATTTTTGAATTAGGCTATGAAATCATTTTGTTTTAATTCGAATAATGTTCTATGAACTATGTTTTAATGTTATAATTGGCATTATTACTGATACTAACAATAATAAATTAGAAAAAAATTAAAATTAATTGTAGTTAGGTGCTTAGATTAGGTATAAATATACCACATATTGAAAACATCTGGTGATAGCTGTTGTTACATAAGCAAGAGGGGTTCTTAATTGCTTACGACCCCTCAAGACTTGTGAGTTTAGAAAATAACTGTAATATAGCACAAGATAAAAAGATGGCCTTGTAGATGCTCTATTCAGGCATCTTATATAGTGAAGGATTTTTAATTTGTTAAAATAAAATGAAAACAAGGTATGTGATAAGAAATTGGAATGGTGCTAAACCCAAAAAATGTTTTTAAACCTCGTGCAATATTGACTAGTTATTTAATTTTTATAAATAAATATATATGTGTATATAAGTACATAATATGTGGGTAAAATATATGAAATATGACTTTATTTTGAAATATAATATATATATATATATATATATATATATATATGTATACATGTATATATACATGTATATGATTTATATTTATAATAGTAAGTGCTCTGCCCTAAGTGTGTAATTCAACTGGAGTGAAAGCAATATTTTATACCTCTTATATACATAAGTTTTTTCTATGTTTCCCTGTCTCATGTCTTAACTATATTTGTGCTTCGCAGGGAGTTGATTATTCATATCCATATATCTCAGTATTTTTAGCTTTGTGAAGTGCACACACTCTTTTTATCAAATGGGTCCAATCGAGTTATTTTACGAGTTCCTTTTTTTTATTTTGCAGTATAGAAATTTATGATGTTTATAATTATATACATGGACAACATAGAAGACAAAATAACATATGTATATACACAAGAGAGAGAACCGGGTAGAATAATGTTTTCAAACATTGCATTTAGCTTTGTGCAGAGCACTCACCATATATATAGCATATATTTGTGTAGTGATTTACAGACGTGACTTTGTAATGAGGCATGAAATCAGTTGACTTAATAATTATAAAATAAAACAATGATTACATTATTATAACTTTCTAATATATATATATATATATATATATATATATATATATATATATATATATATTACTCTGCACAGTTTTTACAAACATTGAAAAAAATTGAATCCTAATTAATATTTATGTTATTTATGATAGATTTATGTTATTTATGATAGTTTATGATAGATATAGCAATAATACCTACAACATTATCTAATTCATTTTATTGCCATTTTTTGGTCGGCAAAAAATATAAATGCATTTACAAAATTAAGTTAATATGCATTTAGAAAAATTGTTTTTTTTTTGTTCAAACTAATATTTTGGTGTTTGTAAACTAATGTGATAATATTACTGTTAATTATTCATATTGCGTTCGAATTATTATTGATTTATTGAAAATACTTTATTAAAGAACAATGCTTAAAGTAAAATTGAAAACGCAATAATGTACCTAGAAAATTATGTAATGTAATCATTGGGTTATTAATTTATATATATATATATATATATATAAAATATTTTTAACTAAAAGTCTTCTTTTTTTATAAAAAAATTTTAATTTTAATTGTTTATTCAACGTTTTGGTGATATGAGATCTCTCCCTTCTTCAGGAACTATTGATATTATTTTTATTCTACGCTTTTTATTATTCTAAAA